TAGGAAAAGGCTTCAGTGTTCCCCCTGCATCCCTAAACCCTGATCCCGCCTGGATTTTGAGTCCTGGAGCTCTGATCCTGCCTGGATTTAGGGTTCTGGATTTTGGGAAAAGGCTCCAGTGCCCCCCTGGATCCAAACTGGATTTCGGCTCCTGGAGCTCTGCTCCAGCCAGGATTTTGGGATGGGGGCTGAATATTGCCCCAGGATCCCGAGCCCTGATCCCACCTGGATTTTGGGGTCCTGAAGCCCTGATCCCACCTGGATTTTGGGGTCCCGGAGCCCTGATCCCACCTGGATTTCTACCCGAAGCTCCCCCAAACCCACCCCACTTGGAGCTTCTCCCAACCAGCTCCCGATCCATAACATCCTGGATTTATGACTTTGTGGGAATCCGAGCTGCCATAAAAAGCTGCTCCCTGTTTTTCCGGCCCTCCATCCTTTATCCGCTGTCACTTCCCAGCGTTTCCAGAGGCGGATGCGGCCCCAGCGATCGATGTTTTGTTTTATCTCCCTTTTTTTCCCAATAATTTTTTTAATCATTTCTCCCGCTGATAAATAATTCCCGGGAAAGGCGCGGTCAGCACTTTTGGAGAGTAGGGGGGGGGGAAAGTGATGAGGTCAGGAGAGGGGAAAGGAGGGAAATGGAGCTGGAGCTGCCATGGGAATTCCCAGCGGGAATGGGGCACGGAGCTGGCACCCCTAAAATGGGAGGGGAGGGGTTTGGAGGGACAGGGATGGGGATGGGAAAAGGGATGGGAAAAGGGACAGGGACGGGAAAATAGATGGGAACAGGGATGGGGACAAGGACAGGGACAGGGACAGGGACAGGGACAGGGACGGGATGGGAAAAGGGACAGGGACAAGGACAGGGATGGGGATGGGATGGGATGGGATGGGATGGGATGGGATGGGAAAAGGGACAGGCATGGGGACAAGGACAGGGACAGGGACCTTCCCTTGGAATTCCCAGTGGGAATGGGGCACAGAGCGGACATCCTAAAATGAGGGGGAAAGGGTTTTGAGGGACAGGGACGGGAAAAGGGACAGGGACAGGAACAAGGACAGGGACAGGAACAAGGACAGGGACAGGGACAGGAACAGGAACAGGGACAGGGACAGGGACAGGAACAAGGACAGGGACAAGGACAGGGACAGGAACAGGGACCTGCCAGCCCCCATCTGCTTCCCTCGGAATTCCCAGTGGGAATGAGGCACGGAGCTGCCACCCCAAAAATGGAGGAAAGGGGTTTGGAGGGACAGGGATAGGAAAAGGGACAGGGATGGGGACAGGGACCTACCAACCCCCTCTCTTCCCTTGGAATTCCCAGCAGGAGCCAGAATGGGGACACAGAGCTGCCACCCTAAAATCTGGGAAAAGGAGAGTCAGGGACAGGGACAGGCATGGGGACAGGGGATTTTAGGGATCAGTCCCTTTTTAGGGTGGGAAATTTGGGAATTGGGACCCCAGCTGGTGTTCCCAGTCCCTTTTCGGGACGGGAAATTGGGGAATTGGGACCCCAGCTGGTGTTCCCAGTCCCTTTTCGGGATGGGAAATTGGGGAATTGGGACCCCAGCTGGTGTTCCCAGTCCCTTTTCGGGATGGGAAATTGGGGAATTGGGACCCCAGCTGGTGTTCCCAGTCTCTTTTTCGGATGGGAAATTGGGGAATTGGGATCCCAGCCCCCTGCTGCCGCTGCCGCCAGGGCCGCTCCCGCTCCCGACTCCAATCCTGAGCTTCTGCTGCTTCCTTGTGGCAAAATCTTGGAATGACACGGCCCTTGCCTGAATTCCTGCCCCGGAACGCGACCCCAAACCCCTTGGAAAATCCCTTGGGAGCAGCTCCAGGGTTGGGATCTCCCGGCCTTGGAATCTCGGGAGGGAAATCCTTCACCCGAGTCCATCCCTGCGCTGACCTTTGCCGGCTCCTTGATAATTCCAAGTGGGAATTCTGCTTGCGAGCCCTTCCCAGAGGCCGTAAATATTCCCGGGAAGGTGATGGAAGTGCTTGATTTTCTTGGGATGTGTTTTTAAAGAGCTGGGATGTAACCCCGGAGTCTGGGTGGCAATTCCCGGGATATTTATGGCGGGAAGGTTCTTTAATTCCTTTCCTTTTATTCCTGAATTTCAGCGCCGTCACCACTCGGGATTAAACGTGGAATTCCCACTCTGTGACACCCTCAGCTCCCCAAAAATTAGGGTTTTCCCTGGGATTGCTTCTCCTGTCGGGAATAAGGAAAGGGGTGGGAGGATCCCACCGGGATTTGGGATTTGCTGCCATGGCTCAGCATCCCAAATCCTGATTATCCATGGCCGGGGAACTTCATCCCTCTGGGATTGATTCCTGACCGTGGAGCCGTTCCCGGGAGGAAAAAAAAGGGAAGGGATGGATGAGGGGTGTCCAGATGGGCTCAGGACCCTCTGGGAAAACGGGAATGAGGGCCTCCGATTTGATGTCCAGGTGCCCCACGTCAGCTTTTCCATGGGGAGATTGGGAATAAATCCCGGCAGGAATGGGGCTCATCCCTCCCATTCCCTCTCTCCCTCCTCCACTCTCTGCTTTTGGGGCCGTGGGGTCCCTGAAGGGGCTCAGGACCCTCTGGAAAACTGGGAATGAGTGGGACCAGTTTGATCTCCATGTACCCCTCTGGAAAACTGGGAATGAGTGGGACCAGTTTGATCTCCATGTACCCCATAGCAGCTTTTCCAAGGGGAAATTTAGGAACAAATCCCAGCAGGAATTGGGGTCACTCCTCCTTTGGGGCCAAGAAATCCTTGGAGGGGCTCAGGACCCTCTGGAAAACTGGGAATGGGCTGGAAGAGTGGGACCAGTTTGATCTCCAGGTGCCCCATAGCAGCTTTTCCAAGGGGAAATTCGGGAATTGGGGTCACTCCCCACTCCCTCCTCCTTTGGGGTCAAGAGTTCCTTGGAGGGGTTTGGGACCCTCTGGAAAACCGGGAATGCTGGGAGGAAAAGCAGCACCGAGACTTTGATCTCCAGGTGCCCCATATCAGCTTTTCCAAGGAGAAATTAGGGAACAAATTCCGGCAGGAATGAGGGGGGAGTTCTCCCTCTCTCCCTCCCTCCGGAGCCGCGGGGTGAAAGCTGAAAGTTGAAGAGTCCAAAGCCGTCAATCCCGACTTTCAGCCGGCGCTGGGAAAGGGAAATATTTGGATAAGGCGCGATCCGGAGCTGCCGCTGTTTACAAATCCCGATCCCACATCAAACGCGGCTCCCTTTGGGAAGCGCTTCCCGCTCTCCCGGCTCCTTTTGGGAGCTGTCACGGGAATTATTTGATGTTTCCCTCTCTCCTTTGTTTGTTTACGTTCATTAAAGCCGGGGGAAATCCATCAAACCCTTGGCTCCGGTCATCCCGGAGCGCGCGCGGCCGCAGGTGCGGAGCGGCCGGGAATGATGGAGGATCCATTTATCCCGCGGGGCGTGTGGACGGAATGACACATTCCCGATAAATCCAACCCCCTTCCCGCCCTTTTCCCTTCCCCCCGGCCCTGATGGATGAGTTCCTTATCAGGAACATGGAAAAGCCGCGGGCGAGCTCCGGCTGCGCTTCCCGGCCGGATGCGGGGGCAGAGGGGTGATCCCGGAGTTCTGCGGATTCCCGGGATGAGCCGGGATTTATGGAAGTTGTTCCCCAGCTCTGCCAAACGTCGTCTTGGATTGAATTCCAACAAATGCTGGATCCCCCTTGGATTTGCCCCATTGTGGGGAGTTATCCCAAGTTTGCCATCTTGGAATTCCCAAGTTTTTTGCCTCCAGAATTCCCGAATTTGTTGCCTCCAGAATTCCCTAAATTTGTTGCCTCTGGAATTCCCAAATTTCCTGTCTCTGGAATTCCCAAGTTTGCCATCTTTAGAATTCCCAAATTTGCCACCCCCAGAATTCCCGAGTTTGCCACCCCCAGAATTCCCGAGTTTGCCATCTCTAGAATTCCCAAATTTATTGCCTCTGGAATTCCTGAGTTTGCAGCCTCTGGAATTCCTGAATTTGCTGCCTCTGGAATACCCAAATTTGCCACTTGCAAAATTCCCAAATCTGCCACCTGTGGAATTTCCGAGTTTGCTGCCTCAGGAACGGGGCCTCCAAGACCTCTCAATTCCCGGGAAAATGAGGCCTCCAAGGCCATTCCCAGGAAAATGGGGCCTCCAGGGCCTCACCATTCCCAGAAAACGAGGCCTCCAAGGCCATTCCTGGGAAAATGAGGCCGTCGGGCTAACGAGGAATGGTCGGGGCACACCTGAACGCTCCGCTGGAGCCGGAGCAAAAGTCGGGATTTACGGAGTCCCCGCGCGGACAGGAAAGGACGGGAAGTTTATCATGGATTAGGGAATTAATGGGGATGAATTCCCGCCCGCTGATGGATGGGATGGACGCTCCATTAGGGAATGATTTAGGATTTTCCGGCTCATTGTGGATCAGGGAGGGCTCGGCTGGGCAGGGCTGGGGTCGGAATGTTGGGACTGGGGGAGAGAGGGAACAGGGGAGGAATTCCAGGGATTTTTCAAGTTATGGATACATATTTTTATATTTTTATTTCCGTATTTTTTATTTTTATATGGATTTCTTACGGGATAACTTGGGATGGAAGGGATCCTAAAGCTAATCCAGGGTCACCTCCCACTATCCCAGGATTCCCAGCTTTTTGGGATGAGCTGGGAATGGCAGAGCCCTTCCAGGCTCCGGGGTGAGATCCCATGGGAAGAGCCATGATCCAGGCCAGACATGGAATCATGGGAACTGAGTTCTCCATGGGAATTGGGTTTTCCATGGAAATTGGGTTTTCCATGTCCATAACTCAACCAGATTCCAGGGAAAAGGGCAGCTCCAGCCTCATCCTGCTGAATCCTGGAATTCCAACACCTTATTGCCTATTCCAAATCCTGGGATTTCCACCCCTGGCGCTGCTTCCCCAAAGAAGGGGCTGGAAACCTTGGAATGTGGGAATGGCAAATTCCAAGATTTTCCTTTGCTTTGCTCCCCACAGGCCTGGAGGAGATCCCACGGCCTGTCCCGTATTCCGGGAATATTCTGAAGCAAGGATACCTGGAGAAGAGATCCCGAGGTAAAACCTGGAATTCCAGGAGAACATCTGGGGCTGCCACCTCAAAATTTGGGAAAATCCCAAATTTACAGCCAAAAAAAACCACAGGAAATCCACAGATTTCCACTGGCAGGAGCTTCCAGGTTTTTCCGATGCCTTGCTGGGCTCATTTCGTTTTCCAGAGCGTCCAAATTAAATCCTGGAATTAAATTAAACCCGGCCCAGGCCTGGAGGGCAAAACTAATGAGGAGAAAAAGCCGGGAAAAGCTCCAGGGATTCGGGATCATCCCACATTTAATGTGGAGATAAGAGCCGGGCTCGGAATCAGCCTCGGCCTTATCTCCCCTTTCCCGTGAAAGCCACAAATTATTCCCTTCCCTAATGGGATTTTCTCGGGAATTATTTATGGGAAGAGGCACAAACAGCTCCTGGCTTATCCCTGAGCCGAGCTAGGAGTTAGGCCTGGCTTAACTCCCGCTAATCTACGATTTAACGACATTTTCCGGAGATTTAACCCCAAACGTGTTCCCTGGCCGCATCGAATCCATGAGAAACGCATCCCAAAGGAATAAAAAAAAAAGAGTATTTTCTGCTTTTCCTGATTTTTCCAGGTTTTTCCTGATTATTCCCGTTTTTTCCCCCATTTTCCAGAGCCCAGCTTTTTCGGCTCCGAGTGGCACAAGCGCTGGTGCGTCCTCACCCAACGGAATTTCCTCTACTACGCCAACGAGAGAAGTGAGTGGGGAAAGAATTCCCGACTTTTGGCCGGAAAAGAGGGATCTGACCATGGAAAACCACAATTCCCAGCTCCTGGAAAGAGAAATCCCGGCTGGATCTGGGTTTTCTTCCACTGGGGCAAAGGGAATTTTCTGGCCATTCCTCTTTCCCAGAATTTTCCGGTCATTTCCCTTTCCCAGAATTTTCAGGCCATTTTCCCTTTCCCAGAATTTTCAGGCCATTCCCCTTTTCCCAGAATTTTCCAGCCATTTCCCATTTCCCAGCATTTCCCGTCCATTTCAGTTTCCCAGAATTTTCTGGACATTCCCCTTTCCCGGAATTTTCCAGCATTGTGCCTCAGTTTCCCTCTGTGGATAAACCTCCCTGCTCCGCGTCCAGGGGTGGAAAAAAAGCTGGAAAATCCCAATTTTTGCCCAATTCCCTTTTCCCAGGCAAGCAGCCCAAAGGCTCCTTTCCCATCGAGCGCTACCAGGCTCGTCTGGATTCCCAGCTCCGGAAAGATTCCCGAAAAAAATGCTGCTTCCAGCTGGTCTGTCCTGGAAAACGCTCCTACGAGGTGGGAAATGGCGGGAAAATGTGAATTTTGGAGGGGAAAATGGGAATTTCAGGCTGGAAAAAGATGGGAATTTGGGGGAGGAAAATGGGAATTTTGGGGGGAAAATGGGAATGGATTTCCATGGGCTTCCATGGATTTCCATGGATTAGGCCCTTCAGCTTTCCTGGAATAGCGTTTCCATGGATTTCCATGGATTTCCATGGACTTTCATGGATTTTCCCGGGATATCCTGGCTGTGCTCTGCTCCCACTCAGAGCCAGGAGATAAATCCCGGGAATGGCTTTTCCCAGTGTCCCAGGGTTGGGAACAGTGGATCCCTGTCCCCTCACCCTGAATCCCAAATTCCAAATCCCGGGATAACGGATTCTCCCAACAGTTCACAGCTCCGAGCCTGGCCGAGGCCCAGGATTGGGTGGAGCAGATCCAGTTCCTCCTCAAGGGTGAGTCTGGAGCAGCTCCTGGTTTTTTGGGATCTTTGGGAAGCGTTTTCCATCCACCCACACGGAATTTGGGGTCATTCCCTGGGATTTTCCCTCTTTGCTTGGGTTTTTCCCTGTTTTTTTCCCCAGTTCTCTGGTGTCAGGTTAGGTGCTCAATCCCACCCTTCTGGAATTGGGAGAATTCCCAATTTTCATCCCCTTTTCCCTCTCTCCCAGCTGGGTTTGTATGGAATTGCTCCAGTTGGAGACAGAGAAAATTCCAGAAACCCTCTGGAACTTCCCGGAACCTCTGGAACCCCGGGCTCTATCCCTTCAAATCTCCGAATTTGGGGTTATTTCCTGGGATTTCCCATCTTTCCTTGGGTTTTTCCTTGGTTTTTTGCCTGTTCGGGGTCGTTTCCAGGGATTTTCCATCTTTCCTTGGGGTTTTTCCTTGGAGTTTTGCTCATTCTCAGGCACAGGATTTGGATCTCAATCCCACCCCTCTGGAATCTGGAGAATTCCCACTTTCCCATCCCGTTTTCCCATTTTCCCGGCAGACCTGAGTTCCCTGACCATTCCCTGCGATGAGGAGGAGGAGGAGGAGGAGGAGGAGCTCTCCAAGGACCGGGACAGCTCTGATTCCATGAACAATTCCCAAAATTCCACCCTGAATCTGGAAGAGACGGAGCTGGAAGGTGACGACATCTATGAGGTGCTGCCAGGTGAGCTCCCAGATTCCCAACTTTTCCTTGGAAAAACTGGAGGAAACCTCGGCCATTCCCACATCTCCACTTTTAACCCACCAGAATTCCAAGGTTTTATCCCGTTCGTTTATTCCGAGATTTTGATGGATCTCCCAAATCCAAACCTTGTTTTTCTGGGAATTTCAGATCCAGGAATTCTGCTGGAGCAGCTCTCAGAGTTTTCATGGGTTTTCATAGATTTCCATGGAATTCCATGGGTTTCCACAGGCTTCCATTGATTTCTGTGGATTTCCATGAGTTTTCATGAGGTTTTAGTTAATATCCGTAGGTTTTCCATAAGTTTTAATGGATTTCCATGGATTTTCGTGGGTTTTCACGGATTTCCATGGATTTCCATGTATTACCCTTTCCAGCTTTCCCGGGATAACCCAACTCATGGATCTTCCTTCATCCCAAACCCCGAAAAAAACCTCAGGAAAAATCCCAACCCAACTCTCCCTCCTCTCCCTTCTCCCTCCTTCTACCTCCTGACCAAAAATCACGGAAAAAAACCCAGGAGACGGGAATAGAAAAAAAAACCGGGAAAAGCCACGGAGAGATAATTTCCTCGGCGTTAATGAAGTTTTACAAAAACAGACGCGGCCGAGGCCAAATAAAATTTCACAGGTGATAAATTTTTCCAATTTCCCGGGAAGGATTCGATGGGAATGTTAAATCAGGAGTGAAGGTGTCCGTTCGGAAGCGCGGAGCGCTGCCGGGGAATTTTATCGACTGGAAAATTGAATCAAATTGCTCCATTAAAAACTTGGCTCCTCTGAGATTCCGAAGCTTCCCGGGATGCGCCGGCGGCTCCGGAGCCACCCGGGATGAGGATCCCAAAAGTGGGGTGGGAGGGAGAAGCTGAATTTTCCAAAGTTTTCCAGCTTTTTCCTTTGATTCAGTCCTGGGAAATCCAAGTGTTGGGTGGGATGGGGAAGGCAGAGCTTCACTTCCAGGCCCGATTCCAGGAAAACATTCGGATCCATCAGATTTGATTCCAGAGAAACCCCTGGATCCATCAGATTTGGTTCCAGGAAAAACCTCTGGATAGTGGAGAGGGGCTGGTCCTGTCCCCATGGATCCCATTCCTGGATTTTCCAGCTTTTTCCTTGGATTCAAACCTGGAAAATCCAAGTGCTGGGTGGGATTGGGAAATCAGAGCTTCACTCCCAGGCCTGATTCCAGGAAAACCTCTGGATCCATCGGATTTGATTCTGGGGAAAACCCGTGGATGGTGGAGAGGGGCTGGTCCTGTCCCCATGAATCCCATTCCTGGATTTTCCAGCTCTTACTGGGGATGTGCCTGGGAATGGGCAGGGATGGGAAGGGGTTTTCCCTGGATGGGAAATGGGTTTTCCATGGACAAGGATTCTCCTTTTCCCCAGGCACTTCTCTTCCCACGGGAACACCCAGAATTCACAGATTTGGTTTGTTCCCGGTGTCCACAACAATTCCTGTTTTCCATGAAAATCTTCTCCGATACTTCCTCTCTCCACAGTCAAGCTGGGAATTTTTTATTCCCAGGATTCTCTCGGAGCCCTTGGCCTGCTGGACCTGCAACATTCCTGGATTTTCCCTGATTTTCCCGCTATTTTTCCCTGATTTTTCCTGCTGTTTTTCCCTCCCCAGATGAGGAGATGGAGGTGCCACTTCCAGAGGATGAGGAGAATTCTGGGAGCGGGGAAGGTAAGGTCCCAATCCAAAGGATTTCCAGGAAATGGATGCAGGGGGGGATATTTTGGGATTTTGGCCACTTTGGAGCAACTTGGGCAGTGGAAAATGTGGAGAACAGGAGAATTCCCGGGATTTGATGAGGGAGACTCTTGGCACTCATGAAATTCCAGTTGGGAAGACTCTTCCCGATGGGATAAGGAAGCATCTCCCAAAATTCCTGGGAAAAAGGATGGGTTTGGGATTTTTAAATGGAATTTTTAATCCCTAAAAGGCCAGGGTGGGAATTTTGGGACGGCTCGTCCAGATCCCACTGGATATTCCCGGGATTCTTCCAATGCCCCCCTGTCCCTCTGGGAGGGAAAATTCCCAGGAAAGGAGAGAAAACTGGGACAAAACTCTTTGGGAGGCGCAGATTCCTCGGTCAGAGAGTCCATGATGGAATTCCATGAAATTCCTGGAATTTTCCAACCTCAATATTCAACATTCCCAATAGATTTGGAGCCTTTCCCATCCAGGGAGGAGCTCCAGGAGAACTTCCAGCTCCAGAATCACCTCCAGGAAGATTTTTCCATTTCCCTGCAGATTTTCCATGGTTTCCTTGAATTCCCTTGGCCGTGGTGGTGTCCCATGGAATTCCTGGAATTTTCCAACCTCAATGTTCAACATTCCCAATGGATTTGGAGCCTTTCCCATCCCAGTGGAGCTCCAGGATAACTTCTGGCTCTGGAATCACCTTTCTGATCCCGTACCCGTGAATTCCTCACCACCCTGACCCTTCTGTTCCCTTTTTTTCCCAGAAAATTCCGACGAGGATTATTCCAGTTATTACCAGGGATTGTGGGATTGCCGCGGGGACAATCCTGACGAGCTCTCCTTCCAGCGGGGCGACCTCATCCGCATCCTCAGCAAGGTAGGAGCCGGAATTTTCCGGGAATTTTGGGGGAAATTTGCCTCGTTTTCCATTTGATTTCCCATTTCCAACGGGGCGACCTCATCCGCATCCTCAGAGAGGTAGGAGCGGGAATTTTTCGGGATTCAGGCTCATTTTCAAGGCCAAAAGGTGCTAAAATAGCTCGAAATTAAGATTTAAAATTAAATTAATGGTGGGGAGGGGGTTTTACTGGTTTTTACTGGGTTTTACTGGTTTTTATTGGGTTTTTTTGGGGTTTCACTGGGTTTTTACTGGATTTTACTGGGCTTTGCTGGTTTTTATTGAGTTTTCAATAGTTTTACTGGGTTTCACTGAGTTTCACTGAGTTTC